GGGCGGAACTGCGGGAACAGGCCAGCCGCATCGGACGCCGTTGGCGCTCCGAAGAGTCGCCGACCGTGCAAGCAGAGACGGTGACCCTAGAAACCCTGTCATGGGCAGAGCTGCGTGACCGGGCTCGCCGCATCGGACGTCGTTGGCTGTCCAAAGAGTGGCCGACCGCGCAAATAGAAGACGGTGGTGGAGCAGTGCGAGTCTGCAAAAGAGGGCGCGAGGTCGCGACAGCGTTTCAGCCGATCGGAACAGCGGCAGCTCCGTCGGGAGGCACATCGATGCCGGGAAGAGCTGCGACATCGATGCCCGGGCAGCAAACAGAAGCAGCACCTGTGGACAAAGGCGAGGAGGCGGCACGGCTGCTAGCCGACATGAAGACGGATGGCGAAACCCTCTGCTCGACACTGGAAAGGAAGGCGACGATAGAGAAGCCCCCGTGGAATGACGAGGCAAAGGAATCGGCCGGCGAGGAGGGTGATCTGCCGTGCTGCCAGGCGAGATTTTCGTCGCCAGAGCAAAGATCGCCGACGGTTTCTCTGCACTCCACTGCCGGGACTGCAATGGCGTTTCTCACCACCACCACTGCCGCATTCTTGGAGGAACCGGAGAAGGAAGATGATGGGCAGTTATTAGGCTATGGCTACGACGCTAGCCACGTGGATAAGGAAGAAGTCATTGGAGTCGGAGTTGCTGGCGTGAGATACGTTCGAATAGTAGAGCACGATTGGAAGAAAAGAAAGCGCAAGAATGGAGGAGGCAAGACGTGGATTGCACGGTAGACTTGAAGAAATGGGTCAAGCTGATCAACCTTGAGGGCAAGGTTGGTCTCAAGGGGGATGGGATGTTAGAAACACGTTTTCTAAGGAAAACGAGTTTCTATATTATCATTATTATTAGGTTTTATTAAATATGGTTAGTAGTCTTTTAGTAGAATTAGGTTTAGTATTAGGTTTTCCTATCTTTTCCTATAAATATGTACTTGGGTATTTCGTTACAATCAAGCAAGAACAATTATTCAGAAAAGTATCTCAAACCCTAATCTCTCTCAATTTCGTCACCTATCCCTAGGCCGTCGGCCATTCTTCTCCTCGATCCCCAATTTCCTCTTCTAAATCCCTAATCCCCAATTCTATTCTTCCCAATTCTATCTCAATCCCTAAATATCTATCAATTCTCAATCTTATCAAACCGATCGTTAGAACCCTAGAATTAGGTTTCTAACACGTCTCAGTGTGGGGGAGTGATTCCCGCCTAATTGTACACTTTTTATCCCCGTTTCTCTTTGACGTTTGTGGCAATTGACCTCCAAAAGGGGTGCTTTCACGCTAAGTTTCTTGTGTTTCGAGGTGTTTCAGAGTCTAACGGTTGAAACCAACCCCGAAGTCGAAAGTTGGAAGAAAATGAGCAAAGACCAGGAAAAGAGGAGGATATAGCCAGAGTTCACGGTCCAACATTGGAGTTCACGATCGCCAGTACCATGAACTGGAACCACAAACCATGAACAGCGAAGCGTCCAGAGGGGTTTTGAGGTTACTTACGCCAAGGCAGAGGGGGAGCCCATAGTGAGAGAAACCTTTTTCTTCTTGAAACCCGAGAGAGAGAAACTCAGGAACCAAGAGGGAGAAGAGGCTAGGGTTTGCTCCAAGTGAAGATTTTGGAAGATCCTCTTATTTGGAGGATCTCTAGAAGCACAAGGAGAGTTGGAGGCATCTCAATGATGGTTTCTTTCTTCCTCTTTTGTGTTCTTCCTTTGTCTAGCATGGAGTAGTTTCCCTTTTCACATGGGTGTTGTAGAACCCTAACTACTATCATGTAATTGATTGGGTGGATTGAATGATTGTGTGATGGTGGTGTTTAATTTAAGAATTGGGGTATTTTTCATGGTGATTGTGCATATTTTTTACTTGGCAATCTATTGTGCTATCCTAACCTAGATTAGAGAGAAGCCCCCTTATCTAATTAAGAGGCTCAAAATTGAGTTGGGTTTTCTTAGGCATTCCAAGCCTCCTTACTAGGTTAATGAAGGGCAATCCTCTACTTGAATTAGACACCTAGGTTAATTGTGATTATGTCGTCCAGCCTTGGTTTGATGGAGGGGTACATGGGCCGGCTCGGATTGATATTTAAACATACTTGCCATATGTTGCATCCATCTAAGGTTGTTACTTGGCCTTAGGTGAAATTTTATTGTGATAGTCGGAGCGAGTCATAGGGGTACATGAACCTGCCCAGGTCGATATTTAAATATACTTTCCCTATACTGCACCCGATTAAGGTTTATACTTGGGCCTTAATCGGGATTTTTAAAGTGGTGCATTCGGGTTGAGTCACCATTCTACGATTACACTTGGTCGTAGTTAGGTGTTGTGTTTTAGCGAGTCACATGTCGTACTTGGATCCAACATATAGTGAAAATGCACACACACTTATATAACATTAGTATTCAAAAGTCGTACTTGGACGTATGAAAAAACATGATTTTTTATTGTTTAGTTGGAATCCTCTTTTGAGGCTATGAATTTGGTCTCGATATAAATAATCTAAGGATGTTATATTTAGTTCTCTTACATCATACTGATGCTGTCTAATTTTTCATGTTAAATCTCGTAATTCTCTAATATTAAATTGTAGATGTTCCATAAAAGTTAAATCTACTAATTCTAATTCTCTTGCTATAGTCATATTTTCTTTTCTTGATTTTCTTATTGAATCTTCAAGTATATTTATTATTCATTTTTAATATAAGTTTATTATTTTTACTATGAAAAATTTTCATTAGTCATTCTAGTAATAATATGTTTAGAAGGTTTTCTATTTTTTATATTAGATAATACTTGTTGAAATATAGTTTTGGATGTTCTTAAAAGTTTTGAGTACCAAAAGGTAATTAAGAATGGGAAGAAATTTAGCTTGGATGGAAAACTAGACGGATACATCTTTTGACGACTTTAATGGTACCCGACACCCTATTCAAATTTAAGTGTTATTTTTACACTAATTCTCAAACTTAAGTGGTACTCGAGATATTTTATCCTTCAAATGTTCAACTTAAAATTCTAAGAATAGTGTTAAAGGAATAGGGAAATCGAAAAAAATAGCGGCATTCACAAATCAAAGGAAAAATCGATACCGTCGAACCTCCAACCGAATAACGGATCAACCCACATATATATCTGACCTGTTTTTTTCACCAGATCAACCGGTGATCGACCCGCGGTTGACAACTTTGGTTGTTCCACTTTCTCGGGGACGAATTCCAAAAATACACATGTTTTTAAAAAAAATTCTCAAAATACACACGTTATAAAAAAAATTCCCAAAATACACATGTTTGGGCATCACCGCTGTTGTCAACCGCAGTGAACGCATTCACCGCGGCAGACCAAAGCGGTGAATGCATCACTGCGGTTGACGGCCGCGGTGAATGCATCACCACGGTTGACGGCCGCGGTGAATGCATCACCACGGTTGACGGCCGCGGTGAATGCCCGACTTAACACTGAAATTTCAAACAAATGTAACTTTGAGGTCGGTTATCCGATTGTAGCAAAAAAAATTTTGATTCCATATAACTTTTCAAGATCTTTCAATCTGCAACAAGACTTTATCTCAAAAAAATGTCGTTTGTTACCCGAACGAGCAATTTTTTGATTTTGGCAAACTTTGGAAGGACATAACTTTTAGCTCCTCAATCCGAACGTCGTAAAGTTTTTTTTTGATTGCGCATAAATTTTTAAGAACTACAACTTTGAGTAGGAAATAATTTTTAAAAAAAGAAGTATTTTTGGGTATACGGGATTTTGGGAATAACTTTGCCTTTACTTTTCACAAATCCACATACTTTCCAAAATTATGGTTATAATCAAAGTTTTAGTACTTCAAAAGTTATGCAAAATCAAAAAAAGTTTCATGACATTCGGATTATGGAGCACAAAGTTATAATCTTTCAAAGTTTGTCAAAATCGAAAAATTGCTCGTTCGGGGTAGCAAATGATTTTTTTTTGGGATGAAGTCTTATTTCAGATTGAAAGATCTTGAAAAGTTATGTGGAATCAATAAATAATTCGCTACAATCGGATAACCGAACGCAAAGTTACGTTTGTTTGAAGTTTGAGTGTTACGTCAGGCATTCACCGCGGCGGTCAACCGCGGTGATGTATTCACCGTTTTGGTCTGCCGCGGTGAATGCATTCACTGCGGTTGACAAAAACGGTGATGTCCAAACATGTGTATTTTGAGAAATTTTTCTATAACGTGAGTATTTTGGAATTTGTTTTTAAAAAATATGTGTATTTTGAGATTTTTTCTCGGGGGAAAATAAATTGAAAAGGAAAATCCAGGCTGCTCTTTCCTCCCAAACTGAAAACCAAGTCGCAGAAACTCCCCAAGCTGGTTCTCCGTCGGCAGAAATCCAATTCGAGTATTCGACGTTCTCTCTCTCCGCCTCCGTCCGCGAGGTGATCGTCGCCTGGAGAAACACGCCGCGGTTTCTCTGATTCATCATCCATGACCGCCAATTCTCAGCCTGCAGGTCCGATTTTTGGTTCTCTTCTTCAGTTTTGTTTATCTTCTTCTATTGTCCGTTCCGCCGATGAGTTTCATGCTCCCGCGAACAATGCTTCGCCGGCTTTGCCTTCTATCTCTCGCTCCTCGATTCTTTTCTGCTCGGTTCTTTTCCTAACAGTTCTTTGTCGATCGTATTCGAGCCTTCTTTAGGCTATTTAGTTTACCAATTTGTGCTACTTGTTGATTCGACGATTAAAATTTCTTGCTTATGAACTTCGTTCTAGGGTTTCTATTCTATTTGGGCCGAATTCCGTGGAATTGGTATAAGCTGTAATATATGAAGTTGAGATTTTAAGGCGCTTGTTGCTTTGATAATGGAAAATTTGCTTCTGCGGGTGTCAGTGAAAATAGTTGAATTTTCTGAACGCCATTGCAACGTCCTATTTTCATTTGAGATGTGGATGACCTTTGCACTCTGGATCGAAATTTAGGAAGAGCTGATGATCTATTTTGCTTATGAGTTATGACGCTTGACTGTTCTTACCCTGTAGGAGGTGGAGCTCCTCCGAAACCTTGGGAGCGTGCTGGGCCATCGGCGTCTGGTCCAGCACCTTTCAAACCTCCTTCAGCTGGGAGCACCAGTGCTGTGGTTGAAGCATCCGGTACCGCAAAACCAGGTGAAATTGTTCCACCTGGCAATAACAATGCAGTGGCAACTACAAACCGTAACCAACTGCCTGTACCAAACAGGCCGTGGCAGCCACAGACAACCCAATATGGAGTAGGAGGTTTGTGTTGAATGTCCTGGATATGCTCACAAGTGTTCGAATGTGCTTTAATATAATTATATATATGTACACTGTACGCTTATAGTTGAGTTATTTCTTGGTATGTTAGGTTATTTGTTTGAAATGGAAATGCTGTTTATTTTTATCCATCTTGTCATTTTTTACTGAGAATAAAGTATGAGTGTCTTTTACGAAGTGGTTCAGGAAATAATCACAGAAAGATGAAGATTCCATCACTAACTAGAGTAGAAACCTAATTTGGTTGACTAATCAAGTTACTTTCTTTTTTGCTAATATGCAAGTCAAGATATGCTCACTAGTTTGCATTTTGTGTAAACTTGATGCATATAATTCAGTTTTCTCTTGATACACTAAATTGCTTAGCCGATGTAGTTAGAAAATGCTGTTGTATTTCGTCAACTTTCCTGGTAGAGCTGTTCTAGGGGAATAATGAGTTTTCTTCAATAAGTGGTTCTCAGGAAATAGTCACAGAACACATGAAGTTCCATCAGAAACCAGAGTATGAACCTCATTTGGTTGACTAATATCAAGTTTCACTTTCATGGTGTATTTTCTTTAATCATCATCTATTCATATGTCTCGACTCTTGACTCATGTTAATGTTAATGTCTTGATTTCAGGGTATGGTATGAATAATTCATATGGAATAAGAGGTGGATATGGTAGCAGTTTGTATGGAAACAACATGTACAGAGGGGGATATGGTGGTCTATACAGCGGTGGCGGAATGTATGGTGGTTATGGCAACCAAATGGGTGGTGGGTATGGAATGAATCCTTATGGCCAACAGCAGAATCCCGATGATGTTCCTTCTCCTCCCGGCTTCTGGATTTCTTTCCTCCGTGTGGTAAGACAATTGTTTTGGCTTTTTCTCCCATCTTAAGTTTTGCTGACTAAATGATCCCGTTGGAGGAAAGAAAAGTTTCACTTCTTATTAACCAGCTTATCAATCATTCCTTTAATATTAAGGCATGCAGCGTGGTTGACAGGCACGTCCTTAACATAGAGCTATCTAATATTTTGCATGGGAGTTGGTTGCTGACTGCTGAATTACTAAAATAATTTCAACAGTGCTGCTAACCTTCTCAAGTCTCATCCTCCCTAGCATCCTATTTTATGATAAGATCATATATATGGATTTCATTGTTTATTGCATAAGCCACTAGTTTTTCCGGTTTCATAGTATTGCTGTTGGTTGAGAATAGCATAAGTTGCTACGTTCAGTAGGACAAAGGCTTAGAAAGCTTTGTTGACTTCTCATTGACGTTTCTTGAGAAGCGAAATTGTGTGGTATCAATGTGTTTTTTTACTTAATTGTTGTTGTGGGTGGTTGCAGTTGGCAGGTGTTGTGAATTTCTTTGGAAGAATAGCACTGCTGATAGACCAGAATACTCAGGCATTCCACATGTTCATGAGCGCTCTTCTTCAGGTTTTTATCTGCTTCTAAGTTGGTTTCTTGTCATCTCTCTTTGTTTCTGTTATCGATGTTTGTAAATCCCAAAGATGAAGTATTGGACTGATCACACATTTCCACCCCACTTGGCATTTTTCATTTTCCCAGCTGTTTGATCGGTCTGGGATGTTATATGGTGAGCTAGCCAGGTTTGCTCTGCGAATGCTCGGCGTCAAAACACCAAAGAAGGTTGAGGGAGCAGCAGCCGAGGGGCAACAGAGGCAGCAACAGGTTCAGGCTTCTAAAGCTGCCGAAGGAGGATGGGACAATGTCTGGGGAGCCAAGAACAGCAGCTAAGTACAACCACATGGTCAACTCTAACTTGTTTCGACCGTGAAAGAGACATTTGAGCAAGAACACTGAAAGAGATGTGAGAAAAAGAGTCCGTCCGGGGTCATCATGCCCCAGTGAGTTCATGCTTTGAATCCCCAGCACAGTGCAATCGGCACTACTTACTACAGTAGAATGACTGTTTGACTGAAATAAAAATAAACTCTAGTACATATATGCGTATTATACACACTCTCTCTCTCTCTCTCTCTCTCTCTCTCTCTCTCTCTCTCTCTCTCTCTCTCTCTCTCTCTCTCTCTCTCTCTCTCTCTCTCTCTCTCTCTCTCTCTCTCTCGTTTATCATTGTGCCCTTCACAATGTGTGTGTGGTGGTCTCTGAGCAAAGCTGTTAATATTGGAGTGAAAATGTGTAGCATTGAGTGATTTGAAGAAATAAAGAAGAGAAGGATTGGCTTGTATTACGTTGTTAGATTGATCAACAAATGGCCAATTTTCAATCAAACCTGGCTTGAAGAAACAGTTCTGAAACGGTGCGAGCGACTAGTCCTATATTCTGAGAATCCCAAATTAGAGAGTCGAGAACCGCCTGGATTCCAGATACAAACACCTAGGCTAGGTTAGATAGAGTCCACCCAGCAAGGATCTCGCTCCAAGGTCTTCATACTCTTCTTCTCCCCATAATTATTTCTCCATCTAGTCCACCCTTAAGCCTTCCAAAATCCTCTAAAATTCTTGCAGAAAACATGAAGCTCCAACACCCAACAAGAGAACAGGTGAACTCCAATCCCCAATCGACTGGCGGGGCAATTCAAATGTCTATCATCATCTCTTGATTCACGTTTTGGTTTTAGACTTTTAGTACTCAATTCAAATTCAAAATGGGTATTTATTTAACAGGTCAGGTATATAAATTATCGTGTTAATTGCATGGTTGGTCACTAGATTACAAAAAACGTTCATGTTTGGTCACTGAAAATATTTAAATCCAATTTTGGTCACTCAAATTAGTTAAATGGTTCAAGTTTGGTCACTCTCCGTCCATTTCCGTTAACTCTAGCTTACGTGGCAGTCAACTTTCATAGTTGACCGTTAAATACGTGACGTGGCAATTAAAAAATTATTAAAAAATAAAAAATAATCTTTTATATTTTCCACCTCATTATTACATTCATTAACAAAAATCTAATAATTCTTCTATAGCTAAAAGCCAGGTTTTTTGGCTGAGAAGACACTAGGTGTTGACATTTGTCCAAACACCCAGAAATACCCATACTACTTTTCCATCTATTACAAGTTTGCCATTCGTGTTCCACATTAACCTGTAAATTGTGATCGCGCTTTTTTTTTTGTCTCCTCTTCCTACGGCCACCGCAATAGCTAATGCCTTCTCCGTATCTGAGCTCAGTAAAGTGGATTTCGGCTTGAAAAACCGAAAATGAATAGAAATCATCACTTGTCTTTTATAAAAGATCAACTGCCACCGCTGCCTTCCGGGTTCATTCCGCTGTCGTCCACCTGTCTGCACCTCTGACTGTGCAATTCGCCGTCATTGATTCTCTTGATCTCTCTCCCTCGCTCCTGGATCCGGCTGACTGTCATCCTCTTGTCTGCGCCCTCCTCCCTTAGACCCTCAATAACGTGGTAGATCTCCTCTCCTGGTTATCGATTTGGAGAGAGGCGATTCAAACACAACTTTCCCTGCTTCTATTTCACGTCGGAGACCAACAGATCTGCCACCAGGGAATCTCCAACAAAAAATCAAATACATGTCATTCATCAATGCTATGATAGGACCGACGAGAAGAACAAGGAACCTTGAAGCTTCTGTGGGATGGTGGCTGGAGTTACGGTTCAAAATTAGGGTTTTTTTTTTGCGCCAGAGGAGCGCGATTATGTGGTAGCGACGGTGGAGATATTTTGGGGAAGAGAGGAAATTTCTTCTATTCCAACAAAGGTTGCCTTCGCCGTAGTCAATTTCTTCAACATCGGTTGATATTGTTGGATGTTTCCCGCTTGCGTTGTCTATCGCCATAGGTAGTTGGGAGGAGGATTAGAAGCATCCAGATGTGGCGGCGGTTGAAATGGTCGCCGGACGCCAGAGAGGAGTATCGCAAGGTGCGGCGAAATGAGGGAATGTCACTGCTGGGCCGGAGTTGGGTTATGGTGGTGATGAAGTTGGTTCGGGTAGGGTAGGGGTTGTGTAGAAAAGAAATTAAGGTTCTTTTAATGAATGTAATAATGAGGTTGAAAATATAAATAATTTTTTTATTTTTTAATAATTTTTTATTTGCCACGTCACTTATTTAACGGTCAACTATGATTTTTTTAATAATAAAAGGGGGTTCAAATACGTACATTTGAAAAAAAATATACTCTCATCTCTCTCTCTCTCTTCCCTTTGCTTGAATTCTTCTTCTCCCCTCGCGATGACTGTCATCGCCTCACCGGGCACCGTTGGCGACGGCAGGTCCTGGGCATCTCTGTTCCACGTTGCGGAGGAGACCATGCTTGACTACTTCGAGCCCGAATTCATCAATGGATCCCTTCGTATCCCTAAATCGGTTATCGAGGAAGGGCAAAAACGATGGGAGCATAGTCTTGTAGGTCAGTTTTTGGCCAAGCCTCCATCCGTTTCGACTTTGAGGTTCTGGGCAAATTGGATATGGGGCAAAGAAGGCGAGGTAAAAGTCTCCTTGTTAGAGGACCGTCTTGTTCTATTTCAGTTTCCGTTAGAATCGGTATGTCGCTGGGTTTCTGAGGGGGGTCCTTGGCACTACAAGGACAGGATTATTTGTCTCAGACGCTGGGAACCTGGAATTCAGGCGATGGAGATCGATAACTCGGCTATTCCAGCTTGGGTAAAGCTCTCGGGCCTTTCAAATGAGCTTGCTTCTAGAGAAGGATTGGGGAGGATTGCTAGTTCTCTGGGTAGACCGTTATGTATGGATCATTCCACAGCTCGTAGGGAGAAATTTGGTACTGTGCGAATTTGTGTTGAGATTCAGGCAAAGAAACCACGGATTGACAGGAGATGTTTATTAATGTGGAGTACTGTGGATTGCCGAAATGCTGTGTTCATTGTGGGGTTTTTGGGCATGATTGCTCACTCCCTCCGTCTAGAGTTAACACTAAGAAGGTTTGGAGGAAGAAGACCCCGCTGATTGCACCTATTGAGCCTGCAGTTGTTTCCACGAGCCAAATATCTGAGGCAACTCAATTTCTCCAAGCTGCACTGAAGGGCAAAGCCATTGCTGAGAGTCAGGAGATAACACCAGCACCTGTTGCTAGCCAGGAGATGCCTGTCTCACCAGCACCTGTTACACCTAGTGCACTACCGTCACAGGAAGAGTTTAATAAAGTCATCAATGGTGTGAAGTCCAAATCATCCAAGAAGAGTTCTATTCCCATACTGCATTCCAATTCTTTTGATGTACTCTGTGGATCGAGGGATATTTGTTTACAGGCGCCTCCACCAAAGAAGACAGGGAGGGAGGGACTAAGGAAAAGGAGGGAAGCCACCAAGGTGGCTGCTCTTCGCAAATGACTATCCTAGCCTAGAATACAAGGGGTTTCAATAGCCCCACGGAGCATTATGGTATGCTTCGATATGTAAGTACCCGTCAAATTTCATTATTAGTTTTATTAAAAACAAGAGTTAAGGATCCGAAGAAGGTGATTGACATTAGACGGAAGTTCCCTGATTTTCAGTTTGTTGATAATTACTCTAAGCATCCTTTAGGGAGAATCTGGATTGGTTGGACAGATGATATTACTTTGAGTGTGTTAGCAGAAGAGCCTCATTTTATTCACGCTGCAGTCTCCACGAGGCAGGGTGAGAAGTTATTCTTCACAGCAGTTTATGGTTCCAATGATGAGAAGGAGAGGCTCTTAACATATAGGTAACTGAGTAAATGGAAGATTCAAGGTGCCCCCTGGCTTATTTGTGGGGACTTCAACGCCATATTGGCTCCCTCTGAATCTTCAAATGAGGTATCCATTACTAATAGCATGTCTGAGTTTCGTGTAGGGGTTGATATGATGGAGGTTGTCGATCATACAACTACTGGTCCTGTATTCACTTGGGCTAACTAGCAGCAGGCCAATCCAATTGCTAAAAAACTTAACAGAGTACTTGTGAATGTTGAGTGGTTTGACATTTTCCCTAAATGTGTTGTTGAATTTCTTGCTCCTGGTTTTTCTGACCATTGTGGAATGTTGATTATACCAAGAGTTCCTGTAAGGAAGTTCCCTAAAGCCATTTCGATATTTGGATATGTGGGAACAATATCAATCGTATTGTGATATCCTTCAAAACATATGGACACAACAAGTTTCTGGGAGGGGCTTCTTTGCTGTGAAGCAGAAGTTGTACTTGCTCAAGGCTGAATTACGCAATCTCAATAAAAAATGCTTTCTCAGACATCTCAGAGAGGGTTAAGCATAAAAGAGAAGAGGTTAGATCTTTACAGCTTCAAGCTTTGCACAATCCATCTCCAACTCTATTCTCATAAATGAGTGCAACTATCAAAGTCTATGTTGAACTGGTTAAACAAGAAGAGGCTTTCTTTAGACAAAAATCCAGAATAAGGTGGCTTACTTTGGGGGATCAGAACTCAGGATTCTTCCATAAGTCTGCTATCATTCGCGCAGCTCGCAAAAAGGTAAGGAAGATCGTGGCAAATGATGGTAGGGAGTTAACTGATACACAAGACATTGCTGATGAAGCAGTCTCTTACTATAAAGGATTATTTGGTGTGGTTAATAGTGTAGTCAGTGTGGATTCAGAGATCATTCGTGAATGCTTACACACTACTTTAAGTCAAGAGCAACAAGACTCTCTATGTATTCCAGTTACTGCTCAGAAAGTCAAAGATGCTCTTTTTGCTATGGATGGTTCAAAGGCCCCTAGGCCAGATGGACAACAGGTTTTTTTCAAAGGAACTGGGGACTTGTAAGTACTGATATCATTGCAGGGGTCCAGCATTTTTTGCAGCACAAAATTCTTCCAAGAGGTTTGAACTCAGCCTCTCTTACCTTAGTACCGAAGACTCCTAATGCAGATAACATGGGATCCTTTAGACCTATTGCCTATATCAACATTTTATATAAAATTAGTTGCTAAGGTTTTGGCTAATAGGATCAGAACTGTCCTCTCCTCAGTCATTAGTAGAAATCAGTCAGCATTCATTCATGTGCGAAGTATTCTGGAAAACATTTTAATGGCCCAAGAAGTTGTTCAGAGCTACCATAGAATGCATCTTTTTTTCCAGATGTGCAGTTAAGATAGACCTCAAGAAATCCTTTGACTCTGTTCACTGGGGATATCTCACTTGTGTTATGATTCATATGGGATTCCCACAGATTTTTATTGATTGGATTCTGGTCTAGTTTGAACTCAAGCATTCTTTAGTGTCTCGATACATGGCAGTCTCTTTGGGTTTTTTCAATCTGCAAAAGG